TTGGGTATAAGTTCTTCACAGTTAATTTTCTTTCTCTTGGGCATTGTTATTAATAGAAATGATCCTTAAACAAATTCATTTATTAAATATAAAAATAAAAATAATTTATAAGACAGATACAAAATAGATATACAGTTATATACTAACATTTTAAGAGCTAGTCAAGCACCACAATATTGTTTTAATATTTTTTATCGAATTGTATTCTATTGGTTTATTTATAAACTGATTATTAATATACAATAGTTTTAATGTGTTTGCATATTATTTTTTTGTAAGACATAGAATAGTATTGAAATTGTTTAAAAGTGGTAAATATTAGACAAAAACATTTAATAATAAGACATTCATGTCTCATTTAATACAATTATTGTTTGGTTTTTTATTCTTGGGAACAATAATCCATTTTTTATAAATCCAATAATTATTTGATTAAAAACTAATAAAACTTGATGTATTTATTAACTTTTACCAATCACAATGACATAATATTTCTGGTACTTTTCTGTTATCAAGACTACTATAGTGCTATCCCGAAAATTTTGGATTTTAATACATAATTTACATGAATTGCCATTTATATAATAATATATATTAGTAGATATAACATTTATTATCAGTTATCACATAAATTATCACAGTAGTGGAGATTTATCCCTTACTATAAAACATAAAATCATCAAAATAAGCACATAATGCCAAATTAAAAATTCTTATAAAATTATCAAGCTATTAAATATATACAGAGTGTAACAGATAGAACTGACTTTTGGAATAACTTTTGTTCTAATCAATATTTATAAATTTTTTTTAATACCTACTGAAAAATAACCAATATGTGAACCTGATTATAAGAACGATTTGGATGGTAAAAACATTTATCCAAGTCAAGTAGTTTATTTTTTAGAATTTTTTAAAATATCAATATTTTTTTGATTAAATTAATTTGGAACGCAATAACTTCTGTAAAAATTTTAATTTTGGAAATTCGCTAACATGGGTATATTTCTTAAACTATTTACTAATCATTTAATTTTATCAACTTTTGTCATAGGTAGTCATATATTCATACTTTTGTCATAAATACGATAAATTTTTTGTTTTTTTTTTTTGTCAGTTCTATCTGTTACACCATGTATATATAAAAATAAAAAGGTGGACAAGTGGGTACTGCTCTGCTGTACAGTAGTTGTAGAGTACGTCATTGTAATGCGGATGTGTTATATTTGAATTCAATGATAAATCATTGGATATAAAAAACGATTCTGAGGAGAGACTAGGCCTAGCATTTATGTTATGATAAAAAAGGACTATGTACGATTAAAATTGGTATTTTATATTCATATCCATGTTTATGATTTAATATCGATTTTATGTAAATCGGCATCGGCGAGGAAGTCGAGATAACAGAATTGAGACTCAAGGTAGTAGGCATAACAGAAAAGTACCATATTTTCTTATGATAGCTAACCTACGTCAATATGAAATTACTATTTAGTAGTATTTATCTTAGTAGAGTTGTTTCATATACCTAGAGACATTATTAATAATAATATTCATCAGGTATTTAATAATTTTCAAGTAACTTCACCGCTTCAGACGTACTATTACGTTCCTTTATTTTATATTATAATCATTTTCATGTAGGAGACAGGTTGCTGAGCAGAAATAGTGTAGCAGTGAAAAGGGTAATAAGAATTGTAGTACCTAGGTATTATTATATTTTATAATGAATGAACACATAGTAATACATTGTTTAAACATCAAACAGCAAACACCAGTTATAAAATTATGTTAGAAATATTAATTACTTACGACTTACTTCCTCTACACGTTATGAGGAAAATGAAATCGTCTTGTTGTTGTATAAGAAATAACGACGTCGAGAAATGTTTTTAATTTACAAATAGGTATTGATCGATGTCCTATTACATTAATGGTATAGCGCAATTAGCAATTGTAATCCATTATTAAAATACGAAAATGATAAATTTGAATAGCGTTTGAAATACGAGATGAGAAACAGTTCAAACGGAATTAAAAATAATAGGTTATGACGCTACCGACATATTATAAAGGACAACAAAGAATGGAGATGCCAATGTGCTTATCATATGCATGGATAATATATATATTAATATATTATTTGTTGTTATAGTGGTTATAACAAAATAGATAATATAATCATAGAACTATATTGTTGTATATTATTATTTATGATATGACCTCTGCCAGAATGAGAGGCAACGATAAAAAACAGTCTTTTTCTCTTCCCCATTTCGCATACTTGACTCTATTTTAACGAGCGCTTCCCCGCAGTAAGGCATTTGGCTGGCTTATCAAATAATAACGTTAACATAGAATTAAAAAATATATAAATATATGTAAAATTCAGAATTTTCTAATTTTGATACATAGAAATGTATTATTTGTAATAGTTTGTATTGTATAATTTTTAGTTTCTTTAAGCCAAGTTCACACTATCAAATAATTTGTCAAATATTTGATGTATGTCAAACTTCAAATATTTTAGAAATGGTTCTAAAATATTTGGAGTTAAACGAATGTCAAATATTTGACAAATTATTTGATCGTGTGAACAGGGCTTTAGACCAGCGGTTCTCAAACTTTTTAAATTTGCGTACCACCAGCTACACCGTTTCCCAGTTACAAAAATTTCCGGAAACTCACTGTTCTCACAAGTTATGGCATATCAAAGTTGCAGCGATTACGCGTGTATCGGCACTCGTCGCTACGCTCCGCAAATCGAAAATATCCCCCTATTTGCTGTGTGAACTACCTCAGGTAAACCTCGGTTTCCTCAATATTGTTTCTAAGTATATTTATTCCCAGCGTGGTCACTCGCTCGTCCATTCAAAAGTACCTATATTTTTTAATATTGACAACTTTGAATTGCCATAACTTTTAAAGTTTCCGGAAATTTTTTCAAATACTTGAATTAAGCGTAAAAAACCAATTTTATTATAATTATTATTTTTGGATAGGATCAGAAAAAATTTAACTGTTGTCGCAGATTAACTCTATGATAACGTTATTATATTATGATAAGCCAGCCAAATGCCTTACTGCGGGGAAGCGCTCGTCTATTTTATTAATATAGACATGGCTTATCAATTTCTTTGATATATTCTATGAATACGAATATAATAATATTGTAACGGAATCGCGGAAATCAATTTGATCAGTTACTTTTGTTTATAGTTTTTGGCTTTATGTCGTGTGGTCATTTGTCGTGTGACTTTTTGGCGTGCTTCGGTTTATATCCTTATTATCAATGATTTCTTATTAATTATTTTTAAAAACATTTCTCGACGTCGTTATTTCTTATACAACAACAAGACGATTTCATTTTCCCCATAACGTGTAGAGGAAGTAAGTCGTAAGTAATTAATATTTCTAACATAATTTTATAACTGGTGTTTGCTGTTTGATGTATAAACAATGTATTACTCTGTGTTCATTATAAAATATAATAATACCTAGGTACTACAATTCTTATTACCCTTTTCACTGCTACACTATTTCTGCTCAGCAACCTGTCTCCTACATAAAAATGATTATAATATAAAATAAAAGAACGTAATAGTACGTCTGGAGTAGTGAAGGGGCCTGTTACATGAAAATTATTAAATACCTGATGAATATTATTATTAATAATGTCTCTATATGAAACAACTCTACTAAGATAAATACTACTAAATAGTAATTTCATATTGACGTAGGTTACCTATCATAAGAAAATATGGTACTTTTCTGTTATGCCTACTACCTTGAGTCTCAATTCTGTTATCTCGACTTCCTCGCCGATGCCGATTTACATAAAATCGATATTAAATCATAAACATGGATATGAATATAAAATACCAATTTTAATCGTACATAGCACTTTTTTATCATAACATAAATGTTAGGCCTAGTCTCTGCTCAGAATCGTTTTTTTATATCCAATGATTTATCATTGAATTCAAATATAACACATCCGCATTACAATGACGTACTATACAACTACTGTACAGCAGAGCAGTACCCACTTGTCCACCTTTTTATTTTTATATATACATGGTGTATATAAAATTAATTAATTTAATCAAAAAAATATTGATATTTTAAAAAATTCTAAAAAATAAACTACTTGACTTGGATAAATGTTTTTACCATCCAAATCGTTCTTATAATCAGGTTCACATATTGGTTATTTTTCAGTAGGTATTAAAAAAAATTTATAAATATTGATTAGAACAAAAGTTATTCCAAAAGTCAGTTCTATCTGTTACACTCTGTATATATTTAATAGCTTGATAATTTTATAAGAATTTTTAATTTGGCATTATGTGCTTATTTTGATGATTTTATGTTTTATAGTAAGGGATAAATCTCCACTACTGTGATAATTTATGTGATAACTGATAATAAATGTTATATCTACTAATATATATTATTATATAAATGGCAATTCATGTAAATTATGTATTAAAATCCAAAATTTTCGGGATAGCACTATAGTAGTCTTGATAACAGAAAAGTACCAGAAATATTATGTCATTGTGATTGGTAAAAGTTAATAAATACATCAAGTTTTATTAGTTTTTAATCAAATAATTATTGGATTTATAAAAAATGGATTATTGTTCCCAAGAATAAAAAACCAAACAATAATTGTATTAAATGAGACATGAATGTCTTATTATTAAATGTTTTTGTCTAATATTTACCACTTTTAAACAATTTCAATACTATTCTATGTCTTACAAAAAAATAATATGCAAACACATTAAAACTATTGTATATTAATAATCAGTTTATAAATAAACCAATAGAATACAATTCGATAAAAAATATTAAAACAATATTGTGGTGCTTGACTAGCTCTTAAAATGTTAGTATATAACTGTATATCTATTTTGTATCTGTCTTATAAATTATTTTTATTTTTATATTTAATAAATGAATTTGTTTAAGGATCATTTCTATTAATAACAATGCCCAAGAGAAAGAAAATTAACTGTGAAGAACTTATACCCAAGAGACCTCACAGAGAATTGGTCAGTATCTATTTACTAAATTATGTGACGTTGCATATCAATTGGTTTTTTTATTATAGAAAACAAAAATAGTATTTGATCCATCTGATACTCATGTACCAAAGAAGAGAAGTAAATATTCCTATACAAAAAACAAACCTATGGAAGCAACTAATATGAAAAAAACTACAAATGATGGTAGAAAACAACATGATACAACAAAGTCAAAAAGTCCCTCTGTAAATCCAGTAAATGGGGTAACTGAAGTATTTGATTGTATGTCAACTGAAGAAATCAATACTACATCTCAAATACATTCACCAATACAATTTCAAGGAAAACGGGTTACTCCTAAAGTAAACGCATCAAAAAGTTGTTTTATTTGTGCCAAAATTTTAGGAAAGACAGAATTAATTGATTGTCCAATTTGTTTTATCAAAGGTAGTAATAATTTTAATAGATAAATTCATTTTTTTTTTTATTATTACTAGTGTTAAATATTTTTTTTGTATAGTTCATAAACACTGTTTAATAGTCAGTGAGCCCATGTGGAAATTTAAACTGGATTTGGGTCCTTGGTTCTGTAAACAATGCAGAAAACAAAATTGTCACAAATGTCTCAAAGATGAATCCCAGTCGGTGAGCTGAATAAAAATAATAATTTTATTAATAACTAAAAACTCAACTATTACATTTTATTAGGAGATACTGTGTCGCTGCATAACTTGTGAAGTCGGATTACATATGGTTTGTTATGACTCCTATGAAATGAAACCATTACAAAAATTGAAAACTAATAATATGTATGTATGTATGCCTTGCATGACTTTGGCTATTCAAATAAACCCAGAAGAAGAAGACGTAGTAGATGCAGAACAATTGTATAGTGATGGTAAGACCGGACCATTCAAATATATTATACCTAATTATGAGTTATATAATATAAATGTAATTAAATATGTATTTAGATGATGTCAAGTCACGCACCTCAAGTAATATGTCTTTATCATCTGACGAAGATGACACAGATTCAGAAAGTAGTATATCCGATAGTTCATCAGGATATAATGAAAACGATGAATTTGAAATCCCAAATATATCAAAATGGAATCAACAACAAGTGTTTGAATATTTATCAGAGAAATTACCCAAAGAAATTGTTCATCAAATAACTAAATTTGTAAGATATTATTAATTAATTTATAAAAATAATATTTTCATAATGTTATTCCATTGATAATGAATACTAATGTTGTCGAACTGCGGTACAAAATACGCTCCACTAAATCTACTAGCAATCCTGGTGATAATATCCAGAACTGACTAGTCGGCAGGTTATAAGATATGCCGTCAAGTCTGGATACTAACACTAAGACCGCTAGCAGATATAGCGTAGTGTATTTTATACCAATTTGCTGCACAGTAGGTGTTGAGTGAATCACTGTACTGGTATGTTAAATTTTAATTCAATATTAGGTATTTTATCATTGTTTACAAAAAACGATTCTGAATGGAGAGTCTGTCAGTCTATAATATATTTCAAGTAAATTTCATGATATGTTTTTTGATATTGCTATTAGAGTAACTTATTTTCCTATTAGTATCACAGTAGGTTGATCTATGTTTTGCCGAAAACATTTCATTTATTGTAATAGAGTATATTTCTATTATATCATTGTTATTAATTTTTGAGTCAATTTTTTTTTTTTTTTTTTATTAGCTTCTAGATAAAACTATGATAGCTCGACAATTACAAAATTGTTTAAGTACAAAATTAAACATTACAATATGATATAGATTAAAATATTACAATCATAATATGAATTGAAGTCCTAAGGTACAATAATTACATTTAAATAACTGGCGATTAAAAATATTTTAATTCAATTTATTATGAGATAAGAAAGGTAATCGGAGTATAATTGGACTAAGATGATAAATAAAATAGGTGGCTTAAAATTAATCTAAATATTTTGAAAATATCATTGTGTACATTTTGGCTATAGTAAAATTCATAAATTTACGATATACATAAGATTTTTAAATCCCCAAAAATAATATTTTTGAATTACAACAAAATAACTAACATTGTTTAAATATGTACAATTTTGTCAAAATTTGGCTTTGAAATTTCTATGAAAAAAAACTAGTGCGATGGTTGGAAGCGGTCACTAATGTGGCTGCGATCAAGCATCGTTTGACGTCACCTGCTTCTGGATAGGTCAGGATGACCTATAATTCCCACACAAACACGTTTTCTCATGTTGCTGAGGGTATAAAAAAGTTGTAAAATCAATACATTTATCGCATTGAATCACTCAGAATCTATATAGGTTACATTGTACTAACAAGTATTCTATCATTTTAGAAGCTCGATGGCCAAGCTGTACTTTTACTTCAACGGACCGATATCACACCGAACATGGGTATGAAACTTGGACATGCCTTGAAATTTTACCAACAAGTACGCATTTTACAAACCCAAAGTACACTCAGTAGATTATATTGGGGATAATTATTATTACACCCATCATCTATTTATTATCGGATGACATAAAGTTGTGTTCTTGATTTTTTTTTTTTACAAAGTATACTTATAGTTAGTTTTAAACCTGTCTTTTAAAAATGTATTATTTCATAAACATATACTTTGTGTTAACCAATAGTGAAGTAATTTACTTGTTCAACTAATTTTATATTAAAATACTTGATTGTCAATATTGTAATTTTGGCTTCATTGCATTCTATTATAAAGATGCTCAATTAAAAATGTATATACTCTGTGGTATAATTATTACATTTGTAAGTAATGCAAACATTAAAATACAATAATACATACTATAGTGACCATGGCTCTACCCCGAATATGCCCCACTATAAACATAATAATGGACCCGACACTGTTCACCATACGGCGATTTCGGGCGGTAGCCGTGCGTCAGACCTCCTTATTTCTTAGTGTCCGACTGGTAGTATATATATCTAATCCAACTAGACACCGTCACAAGTGGGAGCGTCGGTGCACCGTTTCTGTCTATTGCCCGGCCAGCCGCCAAGCGTGGTGGCCTCGCATCGGACAGTCGCTAGATGCCGTCATATTGACCGTTTCCAAATAACCTAATATTTAAATAATTGTACCTATTATTTCGTTGGTTTTTTTAAATAATTTAATTATACAGTTAGGTGGTTTAAGCAAATACGACACAAAAATGTGAAAATACCTATAACTCGCTTTTACAGTTAATTCGGTGATAGTTAAATTTACCCCAATATCAAAAACTACAAAAGTGTACTTATTGGAAAATACGCGGAACGTCAATATTTAGGACGTGTATACATGATAGAGACCATAATTCGTTTACAATCCTGATCGATATGGCTTCATTCTTCAAAAAGTAGGTTTAAAACATTAACAAAATACAAAATGATGGGCAATGTAAATATAAATTATACAACTTGCATTTGATTTACTAAAAAAACAAAATTTGTCTATAAAAGATTTTTTGAATAAAAATCCCAGTTTTTTCTTAATCCAGCATTATAGTGTGTGGCGTTAGTATGTGTGATTGTGTGAACATTTATAAATCATAATGTACATTATATATTTCATTTCCTACCCACTCTTTATCCCCTTTAAATATAATATAGAAAATCATTATGTGCCTGTAAATATTTTACTTTCATTTTGTAGGTACCATCTAATGTGTAGTGTGAAACCGTTTGTTGCTGTGGCCTGTGGCGACGATCAATATGCGCGTACATGCGTAGTAAGCAATCAAGCTCGGAACATTTGCAACGCGCGAAACATCTAATGCGCCTTTAAAATAAAGAATAATTTTTCTTAAAAACATATGAATAGGTATTATTTTGTATTTGCCATGTTTATTTCTTTAATAATCTATCCTTTCAATTTGCATGCCTATTGTCTTTGTACAAAATTATTTTTTCAATGTTTCACATCTGCCAGGCGTCCCGCGACGGCTTATTTCTGTTTTGTTATACGCGTTATTGCTTATCATACTGCCCATACTGTATCCGACTACTACACCATCTTAAAATAAAATCTAGTTTTATAATATATAACACAGGTATGCACGTTATATAATTTGTATTTGCATTGCCCATTTGTAGATTGTTAATTTGTTATTACTACCTATACGTTGAGAAGAATAAACCATATCAATTAGTATTGTAAACGAATTATTGTCTCTATTACGTTCTAAATTGTTGCTCCACGTATTTTCCATTAGGTACACTTTTGTGCAAATTTTTATATTATTAGGATAAATTTAACAGTTAAATTGTAAAAATACCGTCAATTTTAACTATAAAAGCGAGTTTTAAGTATTTTCATATTTTTGTATTGTATCAACTTAAACTCTCTAGCTGTATAATTAAATTATTGAAAAAACAAACGACATAATAGGTAAATTACTTTATATTTAAAAAAAACACATACTAAAATATCACACTAAGTGTATAGGTACTTATTACTACATGTCTACATATACCATCATCAAAAAAAAAAAAAACCAAATGAATGTATTGGTATAATACGGAATGTATTACTATATTTTATAATTAACTTGTATTTTATGTACTTACAGTTTATTCTAATTTATATTAATTTATATTGTGTAGTAAATGGTAATTATAATTAAATACGTTATGAAAACTATCCTATACAAGCTCTTAATATTATGTCAGTGAAAATTCTTTTCAGATATTAGGAAAATAAAATACAACTAGGAAAAGGAAACTCACAATATAAATACCTCTAATGGAGATTATTACGTATATGTAATCAGTAGGCAGAAATTTTACATGTTTACTTTTAGCAATTTTATTACCAACATTAAAAACCAAACACTAACACATACACGCACCAATACTTTTGCAAATTTGCAACTGAAGTACTAAACGTTCCCAAATCCTTAAAAAGGCTAAAACCAGTAAAACCTAGGAAACATAGAAAGAATATTACGACCGATAAGGCGACAATTCAACAAGGCGATTGATAAGTTCATCTCAGTTATTGCGACTAATGACTTACAACTTCCTACGAAATAACTGTTCGTCTCTGCAAAAACTAAAATTGTATGGCTTAAACATTTTATATGCCTGATAACGTAAAAAAATTAATATTTTAATATAATTTCAGTTTAAGAAGTGTGAAAAAAAGTTGTATAGCTTAGATTTCAATCTATTTGCTTCTTTTCTTCAGTTGAATTTTTTTATATTCAACACAACTACCTATACATAATAATTTTGTTATACTTATTATACAATTATACTAATTTATTAGAGACGCGAGGGAAAGCCGAGATACCTACGTGATTCACGTTTTCCACAGTACATACATTATGTATGTATTATATTGTTACAGTAATAAAATAACGTATTAAATATATAAATATATTACAATTATTAATTTTTTTTATTTTTATAAAATCCGTATATAATATTACATATGTAGAAGAATGATTTTTGGCGGGGGCAGTCTATCAGCTGTAGGTATAAAATGGCATATAATGTTTTTTGATTTTGCTATTAAAGTAATTAATTGTATTATTATAGTACCTATTATGGTAGGGTGATTGAATTTATAATATAACGTCCCGTATAACAGTGTGAATATAGGTTCATAGTAGCTTATAATTAATCTAATTATTTTAAAATTGTAATTTAATTTTGCGTTAAAAGTTTCAAGTAAGTGTCCATAAATAATGTTTTTAAATTACCTACAACAAAATACCTATCTGAAATTGTTATTCTTTATTTAAATATTTTATCTGTTCTAAGTTTGAACTTAGAATATATATTAATTATAATTTTTGGTAACAGTATGAACTACTTACTATAGGAATTGTTTTATTATAATTTCTAGCCGTAGGTAAAAGATTGAACATTTTACAGGTAAATGTACAACTAGAGTTCGGAACTTGTTATAGATGTTGCACTATAAAATTATCAGAATATAATATGCAGTCAAGATCGTCAAAAAAGCTTAAACTAAGCAACTAATTTTAGATTCTGAGTGGAACGATGAATGTATTGATTTTACAATGATGTGTGTTTATTTTTTTTTTTATTTTTTTGTGTCTGTGTACACGATAAGTAGTCGAAATAATGCTTCGATTTTCAACTTCAGCATCTTGTTCGATTGGAAAGTGAATATCGTTGGTGCATTGCGGAGGTCAAAATTAAATTTCCCTGTACTTTTCAAAAGCGCCAAAAAAAACAAAAGAAAAATTAAGGAAAAACGGGAATTTTTACGCAAAATCGATTTTTCAGAAAATTTAATTTGGTTTTTGGTGTAACTTTAAAACAAATGACCGTAGATACATGAAATTTTCACTGGTTGTTTGTATTTGCATTTTCTATACACGATAACATTTTCAAAATATTTTGATTTATTCTGAACTGTTTAGGGACATTTTCAGTTTCCATTTTCTTTTAGTTTTTTTCTAAAAATATCAATAACATTTTATTTGTTGGTTGCGAAAGCTTGAAAATTTAATACAAGGCTCCTAGTATATTGTTTCAAAGGCAGATGAAAAATATTAAAAATCGTTAGTCACAGTTTTTTTTTAAGCATTTTAAGTTCAAAAAATGACAAAATATGAAAAAAAAACACGAAAATTTCAAATTATTTCGAGTTAGAAATTCATAAAAATTTTTCTTTTTAAATCTAAGATATGAAAATGTAATACAAGATATAAAAAAAAATACATGAGCACAGTTATTTTTTACAGACATTTTAAGTTCAAATTTGGGACGAAATTACATATTAAAAAACCTAGCATACCTATTTTAGTTATTTTGTTGTGAGTGTATAATACTATTCGTGGGTACTTGAAACTTCTAAAGTACACTTATATTATATATCTATGATAGTATCAGGGTTTGTTATTGATCTATAACGTGTTATAAGTACCTAATGGATATTGTGATATGATTAATTTGGAATTTATTATAGGTCAATTTTTTTTTTAATACCATAGATATGTATATAATATTTCTTAAACCTAGACTGACATACCGTCTTCGCTCAGAATCGTTTTTCTTATACAATGATATTGTATCATTGAATTCAAATTTAATAGTATCCATTATACAGTGACCCACTTGTAACCTACTGTACAGCAGAGCGACATCCACTTACCCACCTTTTTTTTTCTATGAATATCAATAAAGTTTTATCTGTTGGGCCAAAAAGTGTAAAATAAAACAACTTCATTTTTTTTTTAATGTACATCATCACACATGGAGGCAAGTGTAATAACACCTTTATAATTAACTAAATATAAATATTTATATTAAAATACATTTTTAACATTCAATCACACGCCTACAACTAATTTAAACTTTCTTATCTGATCATCTATTGGACTATTTGGTTGTTCACTTGACGTTACGTCATCTACTGAGTAAGAAATAACGAATTACGTAATATAGGGTACATCACCGTGACATACCTGTACTGACATTTTATTCTCTACGTATACCAATTGC